ATTACCAAAGGTTGGAGAAGCTTTGCTTAGTGCTAATTGTTTTGCGTCATTGGTAGAAGCCCAACATGTTCCAGTAGAGACTGAAGTAGATAATTTCCAAGATAATACCAGTCAGTTAAAATATGATGCCTTAGAACATATAACTGGATTTATTTGTAAGAAGCTAAACCTGCCTTCAGTAGAAGAAACTGCCTCATTTACGTGGACGGACCAACTCTCCGAGGGTGGCTTAAGGAAACCTTCAGCCGAGCTAGTCATCAAAATTAAAAAATTAGAAGATGTATTTAACAGCGTAAATGGAGAAACCATTAGAATAGGAAAACACTATTTACAGGATATGATAAATCGTTCTAGTCATGTTAATTGCGATGAGCAGGTAAAACGTCTATTTTTGAGATCCAGGATGTACTTTAGAATCAAGACTTTAAACAATGCGTTAAAGGACACTGGAAAACCAACTAAACGAAAAATGTCGAAAATAATCAAATAAACTACAATTGAGTTGTACCACTGTTGAAAATACCACTATCACACTGCTCAGTAATTCTCACCATATTTTAAATATTTCGTTCCTTTCAATGATTTGAATTTAACTTTAGTAAAATAGTATAAATTGGTGTATGCGCTGCTAATAGAGCGTATAGTTTTATAGGTAATTTAACATGTTCATAAAGTATTAAACGTTTTTCCTTGTAAGTATTTGATTGAAAACCCTTTCTCCCCGTCACAGAGCTATCAAAAACCTAAATAATGCGACATTTCTTCTAAAAAATATCTTTTTACCGGTGTAGCAATGTAGTTTAAACACGAATAACTCTCAGAGTGACGTCATGCGCACAGGCGGACCAGTTTTGGACCGCTATCAATCATACCTTATATTCGTTGTATCATGCTATGGACTAATGTAAACTAATATTAATCAATAAAGCTGCTGAAGAAAGACTAGGAGGGAATCAGTTGATTTAAATCCATTTACCATTAATGCATAGGTTGGTTTTTATGAATAGAAATCCGCAAAAAAACACAGTGCAACATTGTTTACAGAAGAGGTCGCATCAATACAAATAAACTGGGTATATTAAAAAATAACTGATAAACAAAACACAAACACTACTTTGAATCTGTACATAATGATAATTATAATGATAAATGATAATGTATGTGGATAAATTACTCAAGATAAGCTTAAATAAACAGTGAGGAATACCTTTATTTAGAAGGCAGATTTGAATTAAATTATTCTGGTATTTAACAAATAAAAATTCGGCCCCGCAACTCTGAGCTGCAATTTGTCACCGCACTCTAACAACCCGAAATTCATTGTTGAACAGCATATATTTCCAAGAAACTGGAGAAAATGTTGTGTTTTGGTGACATACCTGATTAGGTGAACTACTTGAACTGGGGCTTCTCTGAATCGTTACCAAAGCCATTTTATGAAACCGACACAACACTGATGAACTACACAATATGTACGATCAGTCTACCACAATTTCACATATTTTTCCGGAATTATCACATTTTTTAACAAAGTCTCATATCCCAAAACACGAATGTCAAAAAACTCGGCCATGTTCGATTCTTATTTTGATCCGACCAATGATAGCACATCAATGTAAATCTAGTAGTCGAACTGAGCAGAGCCATCTCGAGCTGTACATCAAAACCATAGAAAAATTCCATTTTCATTCAACTGAGCGGACATCAACGACAGTAATGGCTGTTAGGCAACCAACGCAACGAACATATGCTTGTCTGGCACGAGGAGTTTTGAGAGAGAGAGGATAAATTCAGAGAGGCGAGAGAATGAAGAACGATATAATTTCTTTTAGTTGACTTCGTGCGATAAGTTAACCTTCGTGCGATAAGTTAACGGTGTGCTCACCTTTCAGATAATATCTTTACTAGCAACTTTTCTTAGAGTATTTTTCCTGTGGAAATGCGATTTTCTAGCAGTTCCCACTTAGTAAATGTGACCACTTTTGAGCCAGAAAATGTTAGATATCAAACTTTAGTTTTAATATAGATTTCTACAAAACCCACTAATGAGACCCGAGAAGAGAAACGGAAGAAGCTACCACAGATCACAGAGGTTATCAGAGACTGTGTGATATGAGGCATCTATAACCTTCTTCGTTCATTTTTCTATGGGATCGTTCCTTTGAATCATCTATACCTAGAAGATCTATAACCTTAGAAACTGAACCACATTGAACTATATACTAACGTAACTATATATAGTTCAATGCTGAACCATCTCTGTAATTGTATGGTAATTGTTTTGATGGTCCAACACATCGCAGATAAAGACAAGTATGACAGCCACAGATCACTGAATAACCTCTGTAATCTGTGGTGACAGCTAGTTCTTATTTATAAACATGCGAAATTAAATAAATTCCAGCCACAGATTCCAGCTTTTTAAATTTGTAGCACACAGAGCGCTTAGAAGTTATTGAAGTGGCTAGATTCCGCTTCTGGAGATATTGGTAAGTAAAATGGGAAAAATATCCCAACCACACCGTATTGTTATTCAACAATCGACATTTAACATTGAGAAATCTCCTTGAAAGTAAATTACTTCTAGGTGCTCCTGTCTTTCGAGTCCCTCCGAATTTGTAGTTTTATCTATTCTTACCTTAAAGAACACTTCAAATTAAGCAATCTCAGTGAAAAGTTTCCTGAATGGTCCATAAATTAAGCCAAAAAACGCACTAATATATCACGTTATACTGCATAAGTGTCGGTCATCGACGCTCAAATGGCAGTTTTCAAGCATCGCTAACTTCAAAAGTCCATTGCCGCATCAGTAATTCCTAGTCGAACTATTCCCTTCATCTAAACACCTTCATCAACTCAATTAAATTAAGGGCGTATAAACGAGAAAGGACCAATAAGTAAGTGTATGTCTCCGTTGCTTTTAGATTGAGTCACTGAATTCTCACCGCGTTCAAGATGAGTAAAATATTTACCCCCACAAATCAAATTCGCTTAACCAACATAGCGATTGTGCGAATGAAAAAAGCAGGAAAACGTTTCGAAATCGCTTGCTACAGAAATAAGGTCGTTTCCTGGCGCAATAATGTGTAAGTAGTAAATTCATGTGTCAGTCAAGTCAATTTAACAGCACATTGTACAGGGAGAAGAATATAGACGAGGTTCTGCAAACTCATTCAGTTTTCACGAACGTATCGAAAGGTCAGGTGGCAAAAAAAGAGGACTTGTTGAAGGCATTTGGTATGGACAATCAAACTGAAATATGCAAACTGATATTAGAAAAAGGAGAGCTTCAGATTTCCGATAAAGAACGCCAAAGCCAAAATGAGCAACTGTTCAAAGATATCGCCACCACTCTGGCCAGCATTTGTTTAAATCCTGAGCTAAAGCGACCATATCCTGTTACCATAATTGAAAAAGCCATGAAAGATGCGCATTACTCAGTCAAACCGAATCAAGCAACCAAAGTGCAGGCAATGGCAGCTCTCAAGCTGCTTAAACAGGCCGATATAATACCAATAGAAAGAGCGAAAATGAGGATCAAAGTTCATTTCGGTGGAAAAGAAGCAAAAAAGCTGAAACAGAAAATTCTGAAACTCGAAAGCCTACAGGTAGAAAGCGAAGAACAAGACGAGGAGCATACAACACTTGTATTTGTGGTTGATCCAGGACAGTTTAAGGAAATCAACGCCCTGATCACATCAGAAACCAAAGGCAAGGGCCTATTGGAAGTTTTGGCGTACAAGGAGATAGTTTTAGGTGATGAGTTTTTATAATCTACTGTATAGTTAGTATTACGTTCATGATAATCCATATAAATTGTTATTGAATTATAAAAGTTTATTATTAAAAACACACGTCTCAGTACGAAAAATCAGTTTGCGATGGCAATAAAAAGAACTCGTTCAATGAAACAATAATGTATACAATCAACCATTTACTAGTGCCTATAAGCACAGACCTCAGCCTCATGTAAACAACCATTGGGATGATTCCTGCTGAACCAGCAAGGTTTTGCCTTGTACTTCGACGTTGTCTCAAAGCATGGCGGTAGTCGAATTCGAACTATAGAGTTTGAAATTTCAAAGAGATACCTGTGATTCCTTAAAAGTGTCTGTAAGCCCCCACACTCCTGCTTCAACTGTCGCAACACGTCTTTGGGTATCCGCTGAACCAAGTCTGGAATTGCCACTCCGACGCCTTTGTTCCACAAATCTCCATTAGACTTTTCCATATGTTGCTGTGATGAAAGCAGTTGGTTCATACATATCTCTACAATACCGGAAATTAAATTCCTGTCCAGTTGCGTGCAGTTACGCACTTTTTCTATAGCCGATCTTTGAACGAATTTTTCCGATATTTTCTGGTCAACAAATGCGGAAATTTCAATCACCAAACTCTTTTGCTCCTCTTCAGTTAAAGTTTTTCTTTTTCCAATTAAACAAGTTCGTTTTGTCGACGGTATTCTCAGTTTATCAATGTTCGTTTGAAATTCGCATTTGCGCGAAATTTCTTCGATATACGTTAAATAATCGGCATAAGTGCTCACTGAAGTGTTTTTTCTGATGAACTTGAGTCCGTTAAAATCATAGGGACAACAGGGCAAAACGAAGTAATTAGTCCGGGGGCTACTTTTCAGGGCTATTATGGGTATCCACGGCGTGAGCTCGTCCGAATGGTTGCCAATAATCCAAGTACAAGACGGGAACAACGAATTGGGGTTTACGGCACCAACCTGAAATTATACATTCTTTAATAGAGTTTGCTGGTTGATCTGAATCCTTTTCACTACCTGTAAGTTTACAGATTCAGGGTATATGTCCCAAATGGCTCTTCTCCTTATATCAATTCCAAATCCCTCAAAGCCTTCCTGGTTCAATAGAAACACCAACAGTCCATTGCCACATCCGCAGTCAACAAAATTAACATGCGCCTCCTCTTTCCATAAACAAATCAAATAGCTGGTTATGGCGATGTCTTCGAAGACATACTTTTGGGGATCAGTGCCAGCTTTTTTCGGCCATTCCTTAATAAAAAAATCAGATATATACGGGGTGTCCCATAAGCACATAATCAAAAAGACACTGCGACTCCTTTGGATCAAAAAAAGTCGATCCGACACAAATTTTATTACGAAACAAGTATGGTGTCTCTGCTATTGATGGTCAAAGTTGTTTAAATATCCGGAAAACGATCGATATATTTTAGTGAATCTCGCTGTTTCACAAAATGTATTCTTATGTAATACTCATATTTTCATGCAGCAACCGAGTTTATCCACTTTGAGCAAGTTGTAAATTCTTCAGTGTCTTGATACAAAAACTACCAGAACTTTTTATTTGGGAACTGAAATCAATTGATTTTTGCAACAATGAAGGTTTTTTCCCTGTACAACAATGGCGCTAATGATCAGCTTAATTATCAGTTTTCATTTTGAAACTGTACTATTTGGAGCCACTTGGTTAATCCTGTATAGCCTACACCAGCAACAATATTTTTAGATTGTGTCGGAAAATGAATGGTTAATTAATGACACATTAATCTCAGATCTTTGTTATCAGGTAGGCGCAAAATATAGTTATTTCAAGGACTTGTATAAGTGAAAATGGAAAAAACGCTTAAATACTTGAATATTACCTGCACAAGTTTCTCCGCATAGGTCTCCTTTAGCCTGTTGTAAGTTGAGCAGTAGTCCTCGGGTCGTATTAAAGACAATGACTGAATGCAGGGCTTATGAGCGTTAGAATCTTCGATCCATTTTAGCAGCTTCGAAAATAGTTTACTGGCTAACCATTCCGCATGTCCAGTGTCAGCATTTTCAAACGAATTAACGTTTATCCGCAAATTCGAGGTGCTGGCCAACTGTATTTGATATGCAAACGGTGGAGCCACCAATGATTTATCTGTGTCTGATACAGCCAAGAATACAGCCGTATTGTGCTGCTTATCAAATGTTATCACCTCTAGAGCTTTCAGGCAGTTCTTCAGCCTGGGGAAGAGGAGCCTGATTGACACAAACACCTCTTGGGAGTAATCCCTCAGTTCCTGTATGCTGACATCAGTCAACTGCACATTTTTATCGTAAGGCTCTAGGAGACTTTTGAGGAGTTCTTGATCGATGTGATCCCAGGAATTTTTCTTTCTCAATTCGTATAAGATTGCAGAGCGATTTAAAAGTTCCGGCAATTCAATGCCTTTTGAATTAAACTGTACTTTGCAAAGCAAACCTTGCGATACAGCGGTGATTTTTCTATTGACTAAGTGAGGACGGCTGTAGTATAGCAGCAAGGCATCCCAATATTTCTCCAAGGGAATTATAGTGGAGCTTGTAACTAAGGGTACTTGAAACATTGCTTACTTGCCCAGATACTAAAACCAACCAAATTGTTATTAATTAAGTTGAATGGTTTCTGCTCAGTTTTAGCCTTACAGAGATGTTTTTTAATAAGAACGTTTCAGTTTCAGTTTTCGTCACTCGTTTTTAAGTAAATAATGATTCCGAAAATCCTGGAGAACCGCAACTTGGTTGAATTATGAGTTGCTTCTGACTAACCCTTAACTTAACGTAGTACAAGCACAGAAACAAATTTGTAATTGTGAAAATTGAAATGGCTTGCTAGCCTCAGCTATTAATTACGACATTATTATTATTAAATTGTGACTACCAGTTTTTTGGACCCTTGAAAGAAGCACTTCTATAGAATATACCTATAGGTCAGCGTTTTGATGACGATTTAGGGCTAAAAGAGCTTGTGCCCATCAGCTGCGTGAACATCCGAAGAGTTTCTACGATAGCGAAAGTAAAAAGCTCCCAATCTACTAGAAACTTGTGTGTCGCTAGGGAGAACAATTTTGTAGAAAAATAAGAAGCAATTGCTGTTTTTTCCGCGATTTTGATACACCTGCTCCAAAACTAAGGACGATCCGCACCGCAACGTTTGTATATCCACGATTTTCTTTATAGCTGGGCCCATGGGTATTAGATACCAATTTTATCTGCATTGTGCGTTGGTTGTAGATAATTGAGGTTGTTAGTTTAATCTGGATTTTACCAATCAAAAACTTGTAATTAAAAAAATCTCTGCCAAGCTTGAAGTCTCCAAATATAAGCCACACATTTGAACCAATGTACCTTTTTAAGAATCCAGTCGCAATCCTCGTAGGACCTTTTAATTATCTCCTTTATGCGCTCAGGGTCAGATTCATTGATATATTGCTTGAAGCTCTATCCAGAAAGTATAGAAACTTTGGTGAAATGTGAAAATTAAATGTTTAGGGCTTTCGCGGCCATAACTTCAAAAATTGCTCGTTTGCGGGTTATTAGGCCGTTATCGATATGAAATTGGTCTCAGCGTTCCGCTGAAATCCTAAAGAAGTGTATGTTTGCCTAATAACAAGAAAACCAGCAGTTTTCATAAGATAACAGCAGAATATAACTAGTTATACGTAACATAATCACCTGTTGTATGGTGAACTGATAATGTTCCCTTGGGCCTTTCGGGAGCTTCTCGCACTGCCTAAGAAGGTGTTTGTACAGCCTTAAAGCCGGGTTTTGTTGAAATTGGCTACTGAACAATCGAATAAACATGACTGGTTATTGAGGTTATTTATGCTTTGATTACACCGTGAACAGCAAGATCGACTGTGACGTCACAAACGCGGGCGAATATGCATACGTGTATATCTTATTTGCAATGAGTACATGAAAAAGTTACGTTATTTGTTAGTTATATGTGGTTATATTCCTTCGAGCCAATCATTTTATGTCTAATTCTATCTTGGTTAATAGCTTTATGTATTTGAAAGTAGTATGTTAGAATAATTGTGCAAATTGATTTTAGAACGTTTTAGTCGGCATTTATTGAGGTGACAGAAAATCCGAATTCTGTTGGAAACTTACTGCACTTTTAGAACCAAGTATTCATTGAAAATTACGAAAGTTTCAAATTTCCACTGTATTTAGTTTGCAAGCTCCGAAGAGCCTCCTCAACTATAGTTGAGGAGGAACATCTATTTTGAGATCGGTGCTTACCAAGCAAGAAAAAAATAAGGAATCTGGGCCATTTCGGTAAAACTTTTAACACCTGTAGAGCTAAATATCGTCTACAGATAGTTATAGCTTCAAATACCTATTTGCATTCGTTTGAAAGGTGCGATTTCTTTAAAAAGAAGAGAGGGTTGATTAAGCATCTATTTCGAGATCGATATTTACCAATCTGGAAAAAATAAGGATTTGCGAAAACTTGAAGCGTCTGTAGAGTTAAGTGTTTCTACAGATAGTAACAGTTTCAAATTTCTACTATATTTAACTTAAGAGCCGTAATTTTTTAAAGAAAAGAGCGCTGTTGAGAAATTGCATTCATTTGAGACTGCAAGCTGGAAAAAATAAGGATTATGGGCGATTTCTATAAAATTTCCAGCATCTAAAGAGCGTTGTGTCTGTTACAGATGCTGCAAATTTCAAATTCCTACTATATTAATCTTGAAAGCCGCGATTTTTTAAAGGAAAAATCACACTGGAAAATCATCTACTTTGAGATCGGCTTCATCGCGAAAACATGTGATTTTGATATTTGCCGTTGTCAATCATGTAAACGAACAATTTAGGTTAGGCCAGTTGCTATAATCTCCCAAAAAAAATGTTTTTTCGCAGAGTTCTCAATCGTGAATCGTTTAACCAATTACGCAACTACTGCAGCAAAGGAAGGCAAGTGGGTGGATATCAATGAAAATAAGCAGCATGTCACATTTGTGTTTCCTCATTCAGCACTGATAATACAGGAGTTTCTAAAGACAGTGCTAGCAATGCGCCCTGTCCCCAAATATTCAGCAGAGAAGGTGATTATGGCACGTCGAAAACGATCACGGGCGAAGCATTGCCCAAGGACAGTCCAATATTCAGTGCCATCGGGGCTGCTGAAGAATTGCTCAGCTACATTGGGTATGGGCTCATTCCATTTAAATACCGGCACGAGATGGGGATTATTTGGTTTCCAGCTTAGCCAGGGAATATGCCAATGAATCAGAGCACGAATACACAGACAAACTGAAAAGAATACAGACCATCATTATTGACATAAGCACGGCGATTTCACGGAATAGCAAAGTGGCCATACCTCCAGTATACACTAAAGAGTTAGAGGATTGGATCTCAGAATATGCCAAACAACTGCCCCCGCCTGA